TGATTATGTTGGGGCACATAGTTGGTAAACATCTATTCAGCTCATTTGTTCACAGATTTGGTTCAGCTTTCATATTTATTTGCTGGTTTTTTGACTAGTTCATCTATCTGTTTGTGATAGTAGGGTATTGAATCTTCCTGTATCAATTGTGTGAATTATTTGATTTTTCATGTCTTTTAATAATTGTCTTATGTAGTTAAGTGCTCCTGTATTAGATGCATACATATTTGTGAATGTTATCTTATCCTTTTCAAATTTTTCCCTTAACAAGTATGGAGTGAGGTTCTTTATCTTTTTGGTCATTCTTGGTTTGAAGTTCATATTGTCTCCAAAGAGAATAGCTACTCATGCTTTTTTCTGGGTCCTTGTTACATGAAAGATTGTTTTCCATCCTTTGACTTTGAATTTCTGAATTTCTTTTTGCCTTAAACAAGTCTTTTGCATACAGCATATTTTTGGATCTTGTTTCTTGATCCATTCTCCCCATTTACTTCTTTTGGTAGGTGAGTTGAGGCCATTTACAGTGATATGTATTGGTTTGTCTTTGTTTTAATGTTGTTCTGCTGTTGGTTTTCTGCTTTTCTCCTAGGTTTAATTACTTGTCCTGCCTGGTGGTTTTTGTGCTTTTCTTGGAATTGTGGCCATTTTTACCTCTCTATGTAACTTTCATTATTTTTTCTCAGTTCAATTTGGAAGTTGTTCTTTGTGATGGAAGTATCTTATGTTTCCACTAATTTTGAAAGTTTTCCAGTATACATCAAATGTAGATTGGAAGATTTTTCTTTCAAGACTTTTACTTCTGTCCAAACTCTTCTTCACTTGGATATTTGTGTTGAGAATACTGAGGTAGGTTCATGAATAAAAATATAGGATTCCGAGCAGCCCAACTGATATATTTGGAATTTAATTAACTGAACTCTGGACTAGTCATATACAGACCCTGCCCATTTCAGAGCCCAAACAATTGGCCCTGAACCGGAAACTTACAAACTTTTAAACAGGGAAAACCAACAATGTGACATCCTATTGGAAACTATTGAAGGAGAATCTTCCATTGATCTTTGGTTTACACCTGTATCCTGCTTCTTTTTTTTTGAGCAGGTTAATTGTTTCCTGTAGGTGCAGCTCATTCTGCTTTTCTCATAAGACATGTACACCAAGTAATTTTCCATCCTCCTGCATCAAATACAGTGCACTAGTGAAATGCAGAGCTCATGATGGTGTCAGTAATGCCAAGCTACAATGAAGACTACTGTGATTCTGATGGGCTTTCAATTATTAGTGATCTGTGATTTTTCCCTACCCACTTTTAATATTGTGTTCATGTGCTGAAATCTAGAATCTTGAATATATCTTGGTGTAGTTTCAGTTTGGTTACATCTATTTGGAGTTCTATACGCTTCATTTGAATGTGTCAAATTTTTTTCTTTCTTTCTTTCTTTTTTTTTTTTTTTTTTTTGTGCTTGGCATTGAACTCACAACCTCTTCCAAGCAAGCACTTATGTCAGTGAGCTAAATCCCTTGCCCTATATGTCACATACTTTCTCCGTACTTGGGCTGTTTTCTGCCATTATTTTTCTGAAGTTGTTTATAGTATTTGTCCTGTGTCCAGCTTTCTCGTTGACCCCAATCAATCTCATATTATTCTTTTTTGCTTCATTTTGTACCTGTTGATTTCTCATAGTCTCTTCCTAGTTTTATGATAGCATTCTTTTCATGACCACTAGCAACAATTTTGTCTTCAAAATCTGAAATTCTAACACTCTCTTTTGTTCAGTCTTTTGCATATACTTTTAATCTCTTACAGGTTTATATATCACATACATTTTAATCTCTTGAATTTCTGATTGAATCTGTTTCATGGATTCAATTTTTTTTGCTATGTATGGCAATTTTTGTTTTTCATCATTTTTCTAAGTTTACACATTCTTTTAGTTGTGTGTTCTCTAACAAATTTGACTTAAAGCATTATTTTTAATCTGATAGAATTTCTCTGTAAACTTTTTGGTATTTACAATTCTGTTGTTATCATGGCAGATAGCTCCAGCTTTTGACATGCAATTTTATCTATCTCATTGTGCTTTGGGCTAATAACAAGTGGGGTGAAAGACTAGGGTTCGATTTTGCTTCTGTATCTTGTCATTTTCTATTTTCTCTTTCATTTTCTTTTCTATGTGCTCCAATCTCATATGATATATTGCTTTATTACTAATATTGAGGCTTATTTCAAGGATATCCTTCATATATGGTTGCATTTTTATAGCTATCCCAAGAATGCATCATCCTAATGTATATAGGATGCAAAATTCACCTGAAGTTTAGCCCCTAATTTTTGTTGGTGGACTGTGAAGCTGATTATGACTCCCTGCAATCACAGTGTTATCCTACATGAGAGAACTGTTTATAATATATTACTAACTAGCTAAAATAGTACAGTTAATAATAGCACTTGTCTCAACTTCAGCTTAACTACTAACTATGGCAACCATACCTGGCTAACTCCACAGGATGAAACTCTGTGAATATTTAATGAAATCAAAAATACACCATGCACTTTTATGCTTTTGTTTTCACGTTAGTGTAGTTATTTTACCATTTTATAGGGGAATAGAGCATTTATGTGGATAGAGGTTGTCTAAAGTGATGAATGAGGTCATACACAGCACAGTCAAAGCTGGAGGTCAAGAATGATTACCTAAGTTTTGGGAAATTTAAGGAAACAAATGAAATAGAAAGTGAGAGAATAATCAGAAAAGACACAGTTATGGTTTGTGTTTGGATAGACCTCCTCAAGCGTCATGCAATCATGGAGGCAAATCTAGTATTTGTGATTGGTTCATTGTCCTAGTGCTGGGAATTTGGTGTGAGTGCTCCACCTGCCCAGGTGTGGGAAGTCTTTTCAGAACACAATGTAAGAGAAGGAAGGAGACATGTGTTTTCCTCTTTTGTCCTTTAGCTTTTGTCATTTTCAGCCAACATGAACAGCTGACCCCAACCATGCCACTCTGCCTTTAAAGCCAGCTAAGTGTGAATTGTTATCTCCAAAATTTGTAGTTAACTAAAATTTACTTAACTTTGAACATCAGGAATTTTGTCTCAACAATAAGAGAAAAGTAACCAAGAAAGGCAGGGACAATATAACTCACTTGAAAGTTTAAATTCAAGACTAATTGAGGAAAAAGAGAAAGAGAATCAATTGAAGAAAACAAAAAAGAAAGGAGAGAAGGGTTATAGCTGCAGTTCCATTGGGTTGATTTCCTTAAGGTAAACTTGCTCTTGCCTTTCTAGAGCAGGTGTAGACTTTCCAAGTCAGACATAAATAAGTCAGACATTGCTACAGTTCTCACCTGGAAATACATCAATAAGTGTGCTCAGATTTCTACACTGCTTCACCTGGGGACAGCAGAACTCAGAGAGGGAGGGCATTTTACAGTATGTATGGTCAATCCACTAGTAGAGCATAATGTATGTGATATCATCATTGAGCAGTATGGAATGGGGCAGATAGATTCATTGTTAAAATTTTCTCAGAATTTTTAGCCAACTAGGCCATTTTACTTTTTACAGGTTAGAGTTCATATCAGAGCACATATACACATCTCCAGCTGTGGGGGATGAGGTGTCACTTTGAAGGCCCCAACCCCCTCAAACCTGCAGTAAACAATAGCCCCCAGTATGCGAGACAGAGGTAGGACAGGAATGCCTGTTCTCAGTGAGATCTCTCACCCTCTGGAAACCATACTGTGTGAGCTGGCTTTGCTTTGCAGAAGTCTTGAGGAAGTGGCTGGCCACCCTTTGTGACACTAGCAGCAAACAAAATTAACATCATTCTTGGGCTAATGAATTTCCTTCTGGGCTAGAGGAGTTAGGAGAACTGGTTGTGGTTGTTTACTTCACTTAGATAGTTTAGAATAAACATTGTAGTCTGTCACATTGTAGCTTGTCACAAAGAATGCCTTTTCACTACTTAATTGTCTGGGCTCTGTGAACTGATCCGGTTTACTATATAGGAATCTTAAAATAAAGATTGTGTGTGCAGTGCAGTGCAACGCGGTGCAGGCAGTAAAAGTGCCGTGTCTCTTCTGTTTTCCTTTCCGAGCGCTGCACCCCCCATGTCCCGGTCAGGCATGTTTGCGTGTTTGCCTTTCCCGGAGTCCAGAGTACACTAGATACTCACGATATCCAACCATATTTTCTTGAGAAATGTTTCAGTATGTTGCTATTGCCCAGCAATGCTGCAAACTTGTAAATGTGCAACTCCTTTGTGTAAGCTCCCCTGAATGCTAAAATTACAGGAGTGCACCACCACATCTCTCTATGGCACATTTAACTAAAAAACTAGGAAAACATAAAAGCAAGATACTAATTATTAACATATCTATTACATTCCTTGAGCACCAGTGTTCTACACAAGAATCAAAAGTGAGAAGAAAGCCACCTGCTGCACCAATGATCAAAGGACACATTCACATTCACACAGGTAAATAACTTTTCCATATAGAGGATGATATTGACTGCTGAAATGGTGTGCCACAGTGAATCCTGGTGACCATGCAAGAAGTAGTAAAATTTCAAATCTGGGATCTGACCATGGCCAGCTGCTCTCTTTTCCCACTGGCAAAATGTAACATCTTATACACTAATATTTACTAGAAGAAGACCCTTACCTGAAGTCTCTTTAAGGATCTCACTAAACTGCAAAATTCATCACACCTTTCTCCAGAATTTACAAGAATCTATCTCAGCCTGACAACAAATATTTCATGTATACAAATTAGAGATTTAAACCCATATGCATACGCATGTCAAAAACAAAAATGTAGAAAGCCCAAGGAAATTAGGTTCACAATCTCAGAAAGGAAATATGCACTCAATGGCTGTGGCTTCTGCCTTCTTCATGACTTTTACGTATGAGTCTAACATTCCAACAGTCTGAAGCATTTCATTCTTTGCATTTTTTAGTGTTCTGTTGTTGTTATCTCCAGCTGGAGGCCACCTACCTGGAATATGACTGTCCAGTCTGCACCAAGGGACATTCATTGCTTCTTCTCTGTCAGCTCCACTATAACCTCATGTTGAAGATGTAATCAATGCATATCACATCAATATTTACAGATTAAGGCAAGCATGTTGAACTCAAATCTTTGAATATCACTCTGTGTCCATCCATGATTCATGTTTTGTTACCTAATAAATTAGAAATAAAATACTGATACTATACATGGGCTTTAAAAGGACAAGTAGATACAGTTTTGAGACTATGAAGAGATCCACAAAAAGTGATATGTCATCAAACCGGTTTGGAGTACAATATCTCAAACATAAACTCATCTGCTTCCTTATCAGTAGTTTTCTAAAGGTTCAGGTGATGCTTGTGTAGTAGTGCTCTCTGTCTGGTGATACTTCTGTTGTCTTTGCCATTAGACGCTGTTTTTCTGCCTCATAACCATTACCATAAACCCACATATTCTTTTCCAGAGCATATACTGAACATCTTAAAAAGGCATTTTCCTTTCAAAAATGTATCCTTCTTCCAGGTTTATTCCTTCTCAGGTTCAATCATATCCCATATGAAACCAATGTAGTGATCTGAGAGTAAGTTAAAAAAATTTTAAGAAAACATGTGATATAGACTTTCGAATGGAAGAGTAGATATTCTTGGACAGTGTACATGCATTTTGTCATTTGACAAAGTGTTCTGTCATGTGACTTCTCCAGACTATTTCTGACTTTTCGTCTGTTGTTACAAGCCTGTAATGTAGGAGCAATGTGCCTTTCTATTAAACTAAAAGTGTAATGTCCCTTATTTGATGAACATGATTCCATGTGCCTAATGTATGCTTCCAACAGTAGATAGTAATGAAACACACACACAGCATATTATATACATACATACCTATCGAAGTTTAAATGATAAGTTATGCAAGGAATTTTACTTGATGCTGTAATGGTAATTTGAATTATAGTGTAACTGGTGCCCAGTGAATGTGCTGTCTTTCTATGAATGTTGCTCTTGCTACTGTATTCATGTTTCTTTTCATGATGTGACATCACACAGTAGCTATGAGATAAATTGAGACTAACAATGGATCATAGGGGCATGAAATTTAGTGGTACTGTCAATGGCACAAGATTTTAACCTTGTAATACTTGGTTTGGAATTTTTAATATTAGCTCCTGCTGCACTGACAGAATTAACATGTGCATAAATAGCGAATATGATTACCTTGGCTGCTTCCATAACACTCAACAGACCTACTGAATATGCCAGAGCAAATCTGAAACCTCAAAATACAGGCACCCCTTAGTCAAATTTTTTGGTAGATGAACCTGATACATTTTTTTTCAGGCATTGACTCATATGCTTGTGATCAACACATGTTTGCCCAGTGCACTTGTGGCTTTCCATTTTCACAGTTACAATGTAACTTCACAACCATAATTTGGGATTCTGTTTATTGGAATCAAAATCTGTGAGTTTAGTAGAAACACAGGAAGGATGATGAAATCTATATGTACTTGTATATTCAGGAAGCTGCTATATATAGTTGACTGACTTTACCTACACAAATACTGTGTATAATTTTACATTTATTAACAAAAACAAAGGATCAGTAATTGGAAAATGAGAGATATTTGACAAGTGGAAACAGGATAAGGAAATGATGGAAGGGGAAAAGGGAGATCAGGAAGTGAAATAAAAAGTTCAGATAGGCTGAATGCATGTACAATATTCTGATAACCAATGTAAAGATACAGTACAACTATGTATTAATATAAATTTTACTCAGATTTTCTTGCATTTGGATTATTAATCTTTTTTATTTCAAAGAAAATAAAACCAAATAACCCAGTAAAAAGTCAAAGAAAGCAAAACATGATAGTGATACAGGATTTCAAAACAGGATAATATGAAATCAACAATGGTTCACAATGGCTCTTGTTATCTTCAAAATTGCTGCCCATAGGTGCTGGGGATTAGCACAGGGTTTAAATGCCACTGGCAAGTGTGAGGCCATGAGTTCAATCCCTAGTACCAAAAAAGAAACTACTGCCCTTAGCATCATAAGATCAAACAATATGAGAGAATAAAACCAATCAAAATAAGATATTAAATAAAATAAGACAGAGAGGCCTGGTGTCCTGGGGTAAGTGCCCCTTGCACTTTCCCCCCAGCCCAGCTTGTTTGGTACCCTCGCATCTTCTGGGTGCACTGGAACTGCTAGGCAGGTCTGGGGTACCTGCATCTGCCTCCCCATGTGCTTGGAGGACTGTGGAGTTCTAAGCAACCAGGCAATGTCACCAGTTCCAGAGGCCCAGTGTCCTGGGTAAGTGCCCTGCACACTTTCCCCTGATCCCAGCTTGATAGGGACCCTTGAGCCTTCCAGGTGCACTGGAACTGCTAGGCAGCTCTGGGGTGGCTGCAATAGCCTCCCCGTTTTGGCTGTGCTTGGAGAACTGTGGAGTTCTAAGCAAGCAGATGAGCGCCACCAGTTCCAGAGGCCCAGTAGCCTGGGGGAATGTGGTGCCCGAGTCCCAGGAGCTGAGGGCATAGAAGTGGATTTCCAACAGACCCTGAGGAAGCTTTCAAATAATACTTGAAACACAGAAATATGGGAAAGTGACAAAACAAAAGACCAAATTACTATCTCAAACCTCCAGGCTATCTCAAGAAACTTTAGGAGTGATGTATACAGAAGAAAATATATGCCACACACCTCAAATATTAGACATAATAGCAACTGAAATAAACAAGAAGCTCTGGGAAGCTTTAAAGGAATTCAAACAAGAAATAATCTCCCAAGTAAAACAAGAAGTGACAAAAGAAATGAAAGAGATGTTGAATATATCTAAAGAAAACACAGTTTAAAAATTGGAGGAACTAAACAAAAAGATAGAATTCCAAGATGAGCAATATAAGAAACAAACAGAGTACACAAATCAGATGCACAGAGATATACAGCAAATCAAAAACTCCACTGAAAGCTGTAAAAGCTGCCTCAAAGAAAGTAAAGATAGAATTTCAGACCCCGATGACAAGATTGTAGCTAATGAACAGGAAAGGAAAGATCTTTTAAAAACAACAAAGAATCAGGAAATAACAATTCAACAACTGCAAGACAGCACAATGAAGAACAAAATAAGATTGATAGGGATTAATGAAAAAGAAGGGGATGACACAAAGCATGCCAAGAGGATATTTAGAGAAGTAATAGCTGAAAATTTCCCAAGCATGAGATCAGAAACTGACATCAGGTTCAGTGAAGCATAAAGAATTCCAAATAGTCATAACCAAAGTAAAACTACAGCCAGACATATAATAATCACCATCCCAGAAATCCAACACAAGAATAGATTATTAAAAGCTGTCAGAGAGAAAAGACAGATCACTTATAAAGGAAAATCTATCAGAATTAAAACAGACTTCTCAACACAAACAATAAAGTCAAGAAGAGCAAGGAGTGAAGTAGTCCAGATCCTAAAGGAAAATGATTTCCAACCTAGATGGATGTACCCTGAAAAATTATCCTTCAAAATCGATGGTGGAATAAGATACTTCCATGACAAAGAATAGCTGAAGAACTTAATGATCACCAAGCCAACCCTGCAAAAAATATTGAAAGACAGTTTAGATACACTTAGGAAAATCCACTAAGCAAAGCAGATAATTAAAACAGAATAGAAAGATAAAGATGCAACAGCAGAAGATAACATGTCAACAATAAACCAACATATAACAGTAATAACCATTAATGTAAATGGTCTCAATGCACCAATTAAAAGAAACAGACGGGGAGAATGGATCAAGAAACAAAATCCAACCATATGCTGTCTACAAGAAACCCATCTAACACAGAAGGATATTCTCAGACTGAAAGTCAAAGGATGGAAAACAATACTTCATGCAACAAGAAACCAAGAAAGAGCAGGAATAGCCATTCTGTTTGAAGACACAGTGAACTTTAAACCAATAATGATCAAAAAGGACAAAGAAGATCACTACATACTCGTTAGGGGAAAACTTCAAGAGGAAGAGATAACTATCTTAGATATGTATGCACAAAATTCCAAAGCACCCAGTTTTATAAAACAAGTATTAACAGAAATGAAAAATCAAATTATCAGTAACACAAATGTAATAGGAGGCCTTAACACACCATTGACACCAAAGGACAGATCAACCAGACAGAAAATCAGCAAAGAAATAACAGAACTGAATCACACATGTGAACAAATGGACTTGATAGAAATGTACAGTGTTCCATCCAACAACATCAGAATACACATTCTTCTCAGCAGTACATGGGTCATTCTCTAAAATAGACCATATATTAACTCACAGAACACATTTAAATAAATGCAAACAGCTGAAATTATACCTTGCATGTTATCGGATCATACCGCTTTGAAATTAGAAATTAATGATAAAAGATAACGCAAAAATCCCACAAATATATGGAAACTGAATAACACACTCTTGAATAATCAGTGGGTCACAGGAGAAACTAAAGAAGAAATTAAAAAATATCTACAAGAAAATGAAAATACAAATACAACATACTGGAATCTGTGGGATGCCATGAAAGCCATTCTCAGAGGAAAATTTATTGCACTCAGTTCCCACATCAGGAAAACAGAATGAATACAAATTAATAACCTGATACTACACCTCAAACAGCTAGAAAAAGAAGAGCAAATCAAGCCCAAAGCCAAAAGAAGAGAGGAATTTATAAAAATCAGAGCAGAAATCAATGCAATAAAGACTAAAAAAAAAAAAAATCCACAGAATGAATAAATCAAAGAGTTGGTTCTTTGAAAGAATAAATAAAATTGATAAGCCCCTCGACAACCTTATTTTAAAAAGGGAAAAAAACCTCAATTTAATGCAATAAGAAATGAAAAAGGTGAAATCCCTACAGACTCTATAAAAATACAGAAGATTATCAACACCAATTTGGAAAACCTGTTCTCTCAAAGGCTTGATAAAACACAAAAAGTAGACAGAGTCCTAGCAACATATGAAGTACAAAAGCTAAGTCAAGAGGATGTAAAACTGCTGAAAACCCAATGTCTATTAATGAAATTGAAAATGTAATTAAGTCCCTACCTACAAAGAGGAGCCCAGGCCCAGATGGATTCACTGCAGAATGTTACAAGAAATACAAAGAAGAACTAAAGCCAACACTCCGCAAACTCTTCAATGAAATTGAAGGAGAAGCAATCCTTCCTAAGTCATTCCTGGAAGCAGATATTACTCTAGTACCAAAACCTGAGAAAGACCCAGCTAAAAAAGAGAACTATAGACCAATCTCCATAATGAACACACATGCAAAAATCCTCAATAAAATATAGGCAAATAGGATGCAGCAAATCATCAAGAAGATTATATATCATCACCAAGTGGGATTCATCCCAGGCATGCTGGGATGGTTCAACATACATAAATCAAAAACTGTAATGCACCATATCAACAAAGCCAAAAGTAAGAATCACATGATCATTTCTATAGATGCAGAAAAAGCTTTCGATAAGGTCCAACATTCATTTACAATAAGAATCTTCCAGAAAATTGGATTAGATGGTCTTGACCTCAATATAATAAATGCGATCTATGACAAACCAACAGCCAGTATCATATTAAATGGCCAAAAATTGAAGGCCATTAGTTTAAAATCAGGCACAAGACAAGGATGTCCTTTATCACCAGTCCTATTTAACATAGTACTGGAAATACAAGGCAGAACAATTAGACAAGAGAGAGAAATAAAAGGGGTAAAGATAGGGAAAGAGGAAGTTAAATTATCATTGTTTGTAGATGACATGATACTCTACATAGAAGACCCCCTAAACTCCATTGAAAGACTCTTAAATATAATAAATAAATTAAGTAATGTAGCTGGATACAAATCAATTCTGAAAAATCAATAGCATTTCTATACACCAACAACAAATTCACTGACAGAGTAATAAGAGAAGCCACATCCTTCACACTAACAACCAAAAAATGAAATATTTAGGAATTAATCTTACAAAAGAAGTGAAAGAACTATACAGGGAAAATTATAATACACTGAAAAAAGAAACTGAAAATGTTCTCAGAAAATGGAAATACATCCCTTGTTCATGGATAAGAAAAATAAATATTGTGAAAATGAACATTCTCCCAAAACTCTAATTCAGATTCAATACAACCTCAATAAAAATACCATCAACCTACCTCATAGATCTAGAGAAATCACTCCTAAAATTCATCTGGAGTGAGAAGAGACCTAGAATAGCAAAGAAAGTTCTCAGCAACAAAGACAAGTCAGGAGGCATCACAATCCCTGACTTGAAGTTATACTACAAAGCAACCATAGTAAAATCAATGCTATGGATTGAGAACTGGTGGTCAACTTAATGCCAGCTGGATTATATCAGCATGGCACTGAATGAAGTTGCTCCACCTGAGGAAAGTTTTCAGGATAAATAGGTGTAGAAGAAGGGAGATGAGGGTTGAGGTGTTAGGGAGCCATTGTGGGTTCTCCTACGATTTGCTGTCTGAGCTGTTGGTTCCCTTGGAGAGGTTTGGTCCAATCGAGCATTGCTTCCTGGCTTTGGCGGGGGAGACATATGCTGCTTGGCCTCCAGGATGAATTTGTCATGCTGCTTCCTGGCACATACCTGACAGTGCTTGTCGTCGGAGGAGCCCAGGGCCTCCGTGTCACTGAGGACACCTGTGGTGCCTTTCAGGATAGCCCTGGTCTTTGTTGTGAGTGTGACTTATGAGTATGGTCTCAAGTTGCGTCCATTTATTTATAAATATCTCAATGTGATCATTCTTTATAGCCCAGGAGTACTCCATTGCATAAAAAATACCACAACCTTTTTTATCCATTCTTCAGTTAATGGACAATTAGGTTGTTTCCAGATCTGGTTATTACAAATTGTGCTGCTATCAACATGGGTACACATATATCACTGTTGTATGATATTTTCAGTTACTCTGGGAATATGCCTAGAAGTGGAATAGCTGGGTCGAATGGGAATTCCAATTCCAGATTCTTGAAGAATCTCCAGACTGATCTCCATAATGATTGCACCAGTCTAAACCAGTTCCTTTTCCCCCACAGTCACTCCAGCATTTGTTGTTGGTAGTTTTCTTGATCCTGGCCATTCTTTCTGGAATGAGATGGAATGTCAGTGTGGTTTTAATTGGCATTTCTCTAATGATCAATGATGATGAACATTTTTTCATGTATTTATTTGCCATTTGTATTTCTTCATCTGAGAACTGAGTATTCATCTCAGATGCCATTTTTGGATTGGGTCTTTGAATTTTTGGAGTCTGATTTTTTTTTAAAATTTCTTAACATGTTTTAGAGAGAAATCCTTTATCTGAGGGACAGTTCACTAAGATTTTTTTCCCAGTTTGTGGGTTTTCTTTTCACTCTGCTGAATATTTCTTTTAATATGCAGAAACATGTTAATAATATGTGATCCCAGTTATTGATTCTGCGAAGTATTTCCCATGCACTTTGATTCCTGTTCTTGAATTTTCTATCTACCCCAATGTCGTCAAGATTTTTACCTAATTTGTCTTCCAACAGATTTAGTGTTTCTGTCAGATCTTTGATCTATTTAGAATTTAGTTTAGTACATGGTGATAGCCATGGGAATAGTTTTAGTTTTCAGCATATGGAAAGCCAGTTTTTCCAGCACCATTTATTAAAAAGACTATTGATCTTCCAGTGAACATGTTAGGCCACTTTATTAAAGATAAAGTAGTTGAATGTGTCGGTAGTTGTGATTGTATAATCTAATCTATTCTATTGATCGTCAGATCTGTTTTTATTCCAAAACCATGTTGAGTTTATTACAGTAGTTTTGTCATATAACTTCAAGTTAGGGATTGTGATGCCTCCTGCCTTGCCTTTGTTGCTTAGAACTGCTTTTGCCATTCCAGTTCTCTTCTGGTTCAAGATAAATTTTAGGAGTGATTTTTCTAGATCTATGTGGTTTGTTGATGGTATTTTTATTGGGATTGCACTGAATCTTTATAACAGTTTTGGGAGAATGGCCATTTTCACTATATTTATTCTTCCTATCCTTGAGCAAGGGTTGTCTTTCCATTTTCTGAGACCAACTTTGATTTCTTTTTCAGGGTATTATAATTTACCCTATATAGGTATTTTACTTCATTTCTGAGATTAATTCCTAAGAATTTCTCTCTTTTTTTTTTTTTGGATGCTAGTGTGAATGGTGTGGCTTCTCATTTTTCTCTCAATGATTTATTTGTTTGTGTATAGGAATGCTATTGATTTTTGGTACAGACTTTGTATCCAGCTACATTGCTGAATTTATTATATCTAGGAGACTTTCAATGGAGTTTTGGGGGTCTTCTATGTAGAATATCATGTTATCTGCAAATAATGATTATTTAACTTCCTCTTTCCCTATCTTTACCCAATTTATTTCTCTCTTTTCTAATTGCTATGCCTAGTATTTCCAGTACTATGTTGAATAGAAGCAGTGATAAGGGACATCCTTGTCTTGTGCCTTATTTTAAGGTAAAGGCATTCAATTTTTGGCCATTTAATATGATACTGGCTGTTGGTTTCTCATCGATGGCCTTTATCATATTGAGGTAAAGACCATCTTTTCCAGTTTTCTGTAAGGTTCTTATCATGAATGAATTTTACAAAAGCTTTTTTCTCCATCTATAGAAATGATCAGGTGACTCTTATGTTTGGCTTAATTGATATGGTAGATTACATTTATTAATTTATACATGTTGAACCAACCCTGCATTCCTGTGATGAATCCCTTGTGGTCATGATGTATAATCTTCATGATGATTTGCTGCATCCTGTTTGCCAATATTTTATTAAGGATTTTGGCATCTTTGCTCATTAGGGAAGTTGGGTTTTCATTCTCTTTCTTAGCTTGGCCTTTCTCAGGTTTTGGTCCTAGAGTAATATTTGCTTCCAGGAATGACTTAGGAAGAATTGCTTCCCTTTCAATTTCATTGAAGATTTTGAGAAGTGTCAGCATTCAGTCTTCTTTGTATTTCTTGTAGAATTCTGCAGTGAATCCGACTGGACTTGGGCTCTTCTTTGTAGATAAGAACTTAATATACATTTTCAATTTCATAAATAGAAATTGGGTTATTCAGAAGTTTTACATCTTCACCCAGCTTGGGTAATTCATATGTTCTAAGACATCTGTCCATTTCTTCTTTGTTGATGAACCTATGAGAGTCGAGGTTTTGAAATAGGTGTTGATGATCTTCTGTATTTCCACAGAGTCTGTGGTGATTTCACCTTTCTCATTCCTTAGTGCCTGAGTTTGAGCTTTTCCTTTCATTTTTATTATAAGGTTGGGTATGATCTTACCAATTTTATTTGTTGTTTCAAAGAACCACCTCTGTGATTCATTGATTTTTGGATTGTTTTCTTAGTCTAAATGACATTAATTTCTGCTCTAATTTTTAAAATTTCCTCCCTTCTTTTGGCTTTGGGCTCCACTTGCTCTTGTCTTTCTAGATGTTTGAGGTGTAGCATCAGGTTGTTTATTTATATTCCTTGTTTTCCTGATGTGGGAACTCAGTGCAATAAATATTCCTCTGAGGACAGCCTTCATTGCATCTCCCAGATTCTGGTAAGCTGTACTGTGTTTTTTATATAATTATAATTGTTTTTATATAATTTAACTATGTGTTTATCTTGGGTGTGAAAATGCATAAAGGCTTTCCCACATTGGTGACATACATAGGGTTTCTCTCCAGTGTGAATACTTTCATGTTGCTTACAACGTCCACATTGGGTAAAAAGTTTCCCACGCTGCTTACATATATATGGTTTTTCTCCAGTGTGAATTCTTTCATGTTCCTTACATTGCCCACTTGTGGTAAAACCTTTCCCACATTGCTCACATACAGAGTGTTTCTTTCCAGTGTGAATTCTTTCATGGTTCTTACACTGTCCACATGTGGTAAAACCTTTCCCACATTGCTGACATAAAAGAAATTTTTCTCCAGTGTGAATTCTTTCATGTTTCTTACTATTTTCATGTTGGGTAAAAGCTTTCCCACATTACTTACATACATAGGGTTTTTCTTCACTGTGAATTCTTTCATGTTTCTTACACTGTCCATGTGCGGTAAAAGCTTTCCCACATTGCTTACATACAAAGGTTTCTCTCCAGTGTGAATTTTTTTCATGATTCTTACAATCTCCACCTGTATAAAAAGTTTTCCCACATAAATTACATACATATGGTTTCTCTCCAGTGTGAATTCTTTTATGTTTCTTATAATCTCCACATGTTGCAAAAGTTTCCCACATTGCTCACATACATATGTTTCCCTCTATTTTGATATTTTTCATGGATCTGAATATCATAGTTTGTGTCTGTTTCTTTCACAACCATATTTTCTGGAGTACAAAGGAATACTTCTTTATACTGATTGCAAGATGTAAGTCCATAGTATTTTCCTACCTTGTCATTTCTGTAAAGAAATAAATTACATATAGGACTGATAACTATATTACTAAGTTTTTGTTGGGTATTTAAATAGAACTCTTTGCAGTCTAGCTGTTTGAGACCCCACTTTATATGCTTCAATTTTGTGTCTTAAGCAACTACTTACAAGTGGATATCATGTAATCATCAACATGTTACTTCTTATTTATTTTTTTTCTTTGAGAGTAGTATAATTTCTACCCATTTTCTGTATTTAGTCTTTCTTTAAATAAAATTTAAAATAGGAAAAAAATCACACTGAAATGGGTCTCTGTACTAATGACTGCCTTAATGACAAGTTCAGTTTTGATGCCTGCTAAGAAATTCTGACAATGAAGTAACTGAATGCCTTGCAAGATATTTGGAAAACAACCATTTCCAAAAGAGTGGTATACATTTGGGAATCTTAAAAGTTTGTATATTTTGAAATGCAAAACATTTAGCTTCACTTTGGGCATGGGTCTATATGTGTATCACATATTGATCATTCTGATTTTTCCCCAATAGCCATCTCCTTTCTGTCCTTAGCCTGTAGTTCCCTTATCCAAATGATCAGGCTTACCTTTCTGTATCAACTCTCTTTCATTTCACCCCACAATTTATATTTTGGTGTCTCATCTAACAGAAACACTGTGACCTTTTACATTTTGTAGCTGAGCTATTTCACTGAACTTGATGGGAGGAGCAACCAATTATTTTTATGGCAAATGACATTACATTATTTATTTTTCACTGATTACATAGCACATATTTTATTGTTTTCCATACTCAAAATCAGCCACAGGTGTCAGCACTAAATGTCTAGCTTCTTTATTTTAAGAGATTTTCACTGATGATTAAGCTTTTAAGTTTGAACTTGAATTTGCCATTCTGCAAAATCTTATTCCCAGGGTGCTGGGTTTACAAGAATGCACACTCACACAGAAACTATTAATATTTTCCTTCTCCACAAATCCAGTGATAGCTAAGCTGCTTCAAGGCCTCATCTGTTATAACTTGATCTGCTTTGCATATGAATAAGCATGTATCTGTATTTTATGTTTGTTTTGACTCTTTTGAAAATACAATTCAGGAGAAGTATGATGGGATCAACTTCTAGAGACTACTGCATAATGATTTTCAGTGTAACTTCACTTAACATAACACCAGTCTACTAAGAATTTTAATTAGAAGGGACTGATTCTCTTGAGAATGGCTTTGAAACATGAGCATTCATTTATATTTCAAATTGTGCTGCAGTTTTAGCAATTTTTTGATAATGATTGTTTTGTACTCAAATGTATACATGGGTAGGTAAACTGAAGGTCGGATCCTATCAAAACTCAAAGTGTATGTTTTTTATACTCATTTATATGCAATTTTATACATTTTCAAAGGTTTCCTCCATCACATCTCTGTAGACTTTCTTTTGGGATGGACTCAGCAAAGTCCACTCCTCACTGCTGAAGTTCACAGCCACATGAGAAATACACATGTATTTCTCAAAAGAAGTTTGAGACTCAAGCCTGGGACATCTTAAATTCTCTCATAAAAATGTGAATCAAAAACTAAGTATGGTCATGCATATCTTTAATCCCAGCAATAAATAGGCTGAAACAGGAAGGCTGCTGTGAGTTCAAGGCAATTCTAGCCTACATAGGGGGTCCAAATACAGCTGATATACATAGTGAAAGCCTGTCTCAATAAAACTAAACTTAACAAATCTTAATTCCATGTCTCTGTCATTAATTTTGTGCATATACACATTGTTTGAGACAGTAATTTTGATGCTAGATTGCAACTCATTTTTAATGTAACAGTTAAAAAGGAGCATTGATTTTGGGCTGAGTCACTGCAAGAGTCCCTGTGCACTGTCTCTAAAGCAGAGCTCACAATGGGAGGCTGCAGGACCAGCATTCACAAAGCACAAAGGCAGACAAATATCTCATCAATAACTTTGATAGATTACAGATGATATCTCTTCAAATCTTATTTAGGCCACTGAGTTATTTGTTCTTAATATACTTAAGAAGCATTTTGAAATTTGAAATACATTTCATAGAACAAAACATAAATAAAATGAAATGTGGTACCTAAATTATAACTCAAATGTTAATGGAAAATTGTTTATGTAAACAATGTATAAACAATGGAACCAGGCACAAGTTGTAAATTATAGCTTAGTGTCACCAAGTGATTACCTTTCACTCAGATATAAGAAATATATCTGGGGAGGATGATTCAGGAGTAATGCCTTGAGATTGAGGCCAACCTCAGTTACAGAACTGTATGAAATAGAGAGGTCCTGACTGTAAAATCCCACAAAGTGAAACTTGAAAACTGACTGCATAAGACACTTTTGGTTTGATTTCAAAAACTATAGCTGTACATTATAGTAAAATTCCAACAACATTCAACACTTTCTGAGGAATAATTTTGACATGTTCCATAGTATACAGAAAACATATTCATTGCTGGCTATTTAGCTTAGTAACATGAAATCCTGCCTGGCAAGTATGAGGTCATGAGTTCAATCTGTGTTTCAAAAAAAAAAATCAAATTTCACCTTCATGACACTGAGGCATAAGTAGAGATAATCAAAATTACATCTCAAGTATGGAACACAGAATTCATGGGTTTCAAGGATGTAGAATACTGATTGTTGCCAGAGCTGGTGTTATTCACCTCAAGGAAGCAATCAGAACCCAACTTCAACTTCATGCTTATCCTAAGAACTACCTGATTTTCAGTGAAGACCCTCCCTGTTGTATGTCCTGCTATTGGCACCCTGCATCATACCAATCACTTCCACATCCTTTCGATGCTCCTCTGATCCACCCTAAGCAGAAAACGCTTCATGCCTAACTATTGATATCCCTGCAAAATTTCAATTTAGAGCATCTCCTTTACGTCACTTAGTAAAGTCCATTGCAGAGCATTTCCATATTTAAACAATGTCTATGATCAACCAAGCTATTAAATCAGCTGTTAATTCAGAGATGACACCCATATTCCTTTCCATTCAGAAGGATATCACATCCATGCAAATGTCTTAAACTTAGGCATTTTCAATAAGGATTTAACAGGCATCCCATTTTGGAATTTATCCTTAGCAAGAACATTTTACCCTGCCCTTGATAACACTTTCATATCTACATCATTTTTCACAGAATTCAAAACTGTATGGCTGTTCTCACAAACCTTGTCTTTGAGCAGGGGTGTCACCTAAATATTTAACTATGTTCAGAAATTCTTTGCATTGTTCTGTATAATACACAGGAGTTCGCCAGGTGCTTGGGAAGCCTTCCTCCACTGAGGCACACCACTACAAATCTCTGAATTCTCAGGACCCTTTCCAAAACCTGTCATAAGAATGGAAATATGAGAACATACTATAAATTTACGTGATCACTATAGATACAAAAAAGCACAAGTTTAAGGAATGCTTTTGTGGCTATGAGGCCCTGCATTACAGACATTTATAAACTTCAGACAATTAAGATTTGCTGCTACCTAAAATGAGAACAGAGACCAAGTTCAGTACCATTACACCAATTACAAAATGCATCAGAGTCAGTGTCTCTCTAATATCCTTACCCTGTCCACTATCGTGGAGGTGCCAGGGCAGTAGAGAATTTCAAAGATGATACTAGAGTCTGTTGCTGTCATAGTGAGGTCAGGGTTCTGGGGATGCAGAATCACCCTTACCCCCAGTAAGAGTCAAAAGGGACAGTGGATGACCCATGGCCAATGCTGGAGGACCTCAGGAGGTGAAGTTAACTAAATATCTGAGGCTCCAGACACCAGAACTGCTTCTAACCCCTTGTAACTGATTTTGCCCAATTCCACCCTATTTCTGTGTTCCCGTCCACAACCTCTGCATCCTGTGGCTAGAGGGTCTCCAAGGTTCTTTGCTAATCAGGCCACAGGATATTGAAAGCACTAAATGAGATCCAGCAAGCATTCTGCTCCCAGTTTTGTGCTCAGAACAAGTAGATAATGCCTAGACACTGGAAGAAACCTAAGAGACCACCTACCATGTCCTGCCTGGTTGGACTTTTCATATAGCCCGCCTCTTCATCACTGATTGACTCCTGATCTACTGCCCTCCTTCTGAGTCAAAATAAACAGTGAAAGGAGCCCCTCCTTGCAAGAGAGGACCTCAAATGATAGACTGTAGTGCAGAGATTTCTGGAGTTGGCTGTCTACTACGGTGTTGATCGCAGCTCGATAGTGCAATATTTCTGTCAAAGAGCTTTACCTCAGGCTTTTTATTTCCAAACCCATTTGGTTTCAAGGATAAAAAGAAAACATAAACTAAAACGAATTTCAAAACATGTCAAACAGGGGAAAACAATGGTATATACATTGTACACTGTCATCCCCAAATCGTTCACCCAGAGCACAAGACATCTGTATTCAATTTTCTGAACAATAGTGTTATGGGAAACTGCGTTAGTCAAATACCACTGGCAGTGAGACAGGGTTAGGTCCTCCAATGAGCCCATGCAGAAGCGCAGACAACTTGCAACTATGGAGAAGATGGACACCTCCTGCTATGGGCCAAGCCTCAAGACAGAAAATCACGCAAATTCATCCATACCCTAAGGACTGATATTCTAAATAGTTCCCTATGACTCTGAGGGAGTGAGGAGTCACCATTCAAATAAATGTATCTCTATCTCAAAGACTGATATTCTAAATAGTTCCTATGATCCTGGGGATGTTGGGAGTCACCATCCAAACCTCCTAAGGGAAGAGTCACTGCTGTCTAAGAATGCCTGCTTTCTATGTGACTCCTTTCCCCATTTGTTCCCATTTAATCAGCTTTATCAGAACTATTAATCTTATTGGCTGCCATAGATCTGTCCCATCTTATGTCCATCTGCATTGTGAGTTCCCAGTTTTCCACACCTTCAACCCATCTCACCACATGAATTTACTCTATAAAAGTTCCTACAAAGACAGTTTTTACCAAACCACTCAGAAACACTTGTCTTTCTCAGACAGCTTTCTTTCTCCCAATAAGTATATTCTACTCTTAACATCTGTTGTTCCTAAAATTCAGTTATTGATTTCAAAGAATACAAACTCATACCAGACATAGTAGCTCAGATGTCTCATTCTCCTATAGTAACACCGTATAAATTTTTCTCTTTCTTGAAGTCAGAGAAACAGTAATAGTTGTCTTCTTAAATGTTCATCTGACCTTTTAAGGGACACTTGCATTGAAGGAGTTTATACCTTCCTTTCCGTGCTTCTTCTGTTTTCTGAAAGAGAACTAATCTGTAGTTTTGTTTATGGTATATACAATGCATTAAGGAAAAGACTAAAAACTTTTCTTGTGTGTTGTTTACCAACATCCATGGAAGAAGACACATAGCCAAAATACTTTATTTTCATTTCTTCAAAGTGAAGGATGTACTCGAAAGTGTTTTGCCCTAGAATAAATCACAGGACATCATGGTGGTAGGTCATCAGGGTGAATGGCCAAATCAGGGATGCTTACCCATATGGCTACTTCCACTTTTTCCCTAATTACAGCTTCCTCATTCCTTTCCCAGGTGCCCCAAAAAATTCATTTGGAGTGATCTTCTCAAGTGCATGCTGACCACAGTTAGAAAATCCGAGAATCTACTAACAGTGTTAATGGGATTTTGAGTCCTACTTACTGTGAAAGAAACTGCAGGCTAGGAAGGTGGCAGGCAGCTTAACTAGAGTGACTCTTTCTATGAAGTGTCTGAAGACCAAAGCCGAACATTTTATTCCATGAATACACAACATTGCTACCAATTGCCAACTCAGGATAATATACACCTGTAATCCCAGCACTCTGGGAGGGGGAGGAAAGATGAGGAAAGTTTTAAGCCTAGCCTGGGACACTTAGAAAATTAGTGAGACCATGTCTTAAAATTTGTACAAAACAAAAGCTTTTACAAATGTAGGAAAATATTGATCATTAAGAAATCTCAGAAGTCACTGAACAAAGTACATTAACCACTATTAATCTATACTTATTTTATCTTTTATAGACTTAAAAAGTGTATCTTTGTATGATTCTTATTATTATTTCAAAATAAAAATAGTAATCACTTGCTCAAATTCTGGTTCTAAATATAAATTTAGGACAGAAAAAAAAACCAGAATGATCAAAATCTCTTCATACTGAACTACCCAAATCTTAAGAGGATATATTCAGCAGCATATCTGCAGTCATCTAAGTAAAAAGCATTAAAAAATTGAAAGAGTATAAACAGCAGGAAGCACATCAATGTATCCGTGATGGTAAACCTTATGCTAGGTGTGCTGACCAAAGTACACGTGCAAAAGAACCTCACAAAGATTTGATTTCTCACTAGAAAGGCGATTTTTGACTTTTCATTTTTATATTTTTTTCACTCTCTCTTTCTTCTTTCCTTTTTTCTTCAGACAGGGTTTTGCTATGCAGTTCAGTCTGGCTTTGATCTTCCCTTGTAGTCCTGGATGATCTCAAACTCACAATCTTCCTGCCTCAGCCTTTGGAGTCCTGGAATGACAGGTGTGCACCAACACCTCTGATTGTGCTTTCCTTTTTAAATTTTCTCCAAAACAAAATTGCTCAGACTTATGTGATATTCTCAAAGTTCATCAGGTTGGTTACACAAAATCAAATCAGAAAGCACTGAAAACACTGAGGGAGTTTTGAAATCCTTACCAACATCTAACATAACACAACAGAGCATAGCATAGTACAGCATAATAACACAAAATAAAATAATAAAAGGAAGCACATAACTCTACTTTAAACATCTGCTTCCAAAGATACAGTAAGAATTTCTAAGTTATCCATACACCAGCAATATGTTGCATTTTCTTTGAAATAAATGTTGGTATCCACTCAAATACTTGTGTAAGAATGGGTGTGGCAGCTTGCTTTCTTTGTCCAACCCGGAAACATAACAAATGGCCATCACAGGATGGGTGACAGGTACATGAAAAGTCAAATTTGCTTGGTTCAGCCCCATAATAGTGGGAGGTGGCAGCACAGGGTGGCAGCATGGATACACTGCTTCAAGGAGACCAACCAAAGAGTATTGCAACTGAAAAGGCTCAGTGCCACCACCTCTAGGAAAGGCAAACTACCCATCAGCGACACAAAGCCTATGGTCTGATTGGGATGGGAGGAAAGGAAGTGATAGCAGCAGCTATGAGACAAGTTCCCCAGGAGCTATGCACATGTGTCCTTCATCAGTACGGGATGATGATGTCACCTCCTCTTGTATGCACCACCTGCTGCCCCCCCCACAGGAGGTCAGAGTGTGGAGTACTACAGTGTATGGCTGAGTTAAACATCTAAGGATGGATA